TTGAACTTTAATACCATACTATAAAGTCAAAATGTTAGTGGAGAAGTTCCGGGAAGTCAAAATAATTGAGTGACGTGCACGGCGTGTTTTATAATTTTTATTTTTTGACATTATGTAATTGTTGACTTATTAACTATCTTTTTTTCCTTACTAGCTGACCCGACATCCCAAATAATAGAATAAGTATTAAAAAAAGTAAAAAATTAAAGAATCGACCATTAGGCGGTATGAAGTTCACGGGGTCAGCTAGTTAAAAATTAAATAACTATAAAAATAAAAATTGTCTGTAATACTTGGATTCTTGAATAAATCTTAATAGACAATTTAATATATTAAATATCTCTGTAGGTTCGCAAACTACATTTAAGCAAATTAATTGCTGAACTGACATTGATGAAAATTTAAATCAAAACTGATTATGTTATGGCATCGTTTATTACAGAATACGAATTCAGAGCAATCATTAAAATGTATTATAATAATAATGTTCCAAGTGAATACTAATAATACTAAGTGAATTTATAATCTAACTGTGACAATTTTATTAATGCATGTGACGTCATTGCAAGGCCATATCTTGTCTTCAGTTCTATGAAATATAAACAAGTTAAGGGCACAGACAATGTATTAAGAAATATATATATAATAAAATATTAATGTATTCGCTAAATGTTAAGAAACATCTTCATTGCAACAGTTTAACAGGGCTATGATCTATGATGATCCTACTAATATTATAAATGTGGAAGGTTGTAAAGACTTTTAAATGTTTAGGTGTTTAGATGTGCATTTACTTTATACATACCTACTTGGTACGTCCACTGAGTATTTTTATCTTAATTTACATGCAAATACCCGCAATAATGTGAAAATGAGTTTATTTGTTTGATAACTTAAGCGTCTATAATAATATAATAGCGTCTTAATGACTTTGATGAAGTCGATTGAGATAAAAGTAGCCCATTACTTTTATCTCAATCAACATAACATACACTGATCACGCGGACAAAATCGCGGCTAAAACTAGTATTTCATAAAATCAATTTTCTTTTAAAATCTTCAAAACTGTAACACATTCAAAGAAAATCTGAAAATGTTTGTAGCTTGAAAAATAACCGAGTTTGTATATTTTACATATAGACAATAGTCGCCTTATGGTCCCGGCATAGAACGGGCCACCCCTTCATTTACCATAGGTGTCGTAAGAAGCGAACTTAACGGTCGAGGGATGGACAGCAGCATTCCTTTTGAAACGTCTTCAAAACCTAATTGTGGTTGCTGGCTAAGCTCGCCTGCTAAGCGTGGCAAATACTGATAAAACCTTTACTCTATTGACGAGGTTTTGGTAAACATACGTTCAGCAGTGGATAGTCAATGGTTGATATGGTATATTATATTATAGAATGAGTATGAAACATTTTTTGACAGTATTCATTCCATCAGACAATATTAACATGTAATAAGTTATTATCACAATGTTTAATCAAAATTTATCTATATATATAAAAATTAATGCCACTTTTCGTTGTAATTTTATAACTCAAGCACGGGCTCACCTATCCTAACCAAATGTTTAGGCTTTGTTCGAACTATTTTTTAGATGGTTTATGTGAAGTATGCACAAAATCGGTCGAGTGGTTCTTCATTTATCACATTTTTTGTAACAAATGAATTCAATAAATGGCGGATCATTTTGTTTATAGGGATTATTGCGTCAATTTAAAACTTTTTAAGATGGGAATTGTGCTGTCAAATTGAAACTTTTTTCAGTGTTGACAGTTCAAACATGTTGTTATGTCATTCATGCGGTCATTCACAAATAGCTAGCAATTAATAATTTTTTTTTGTTTTAATAAATGAATTTGATGTTAATTTTTTTTTATTATTTCACTTTATACGTAGCGAAGCACGTACCGGGCCGCTAGTCTAATATAAATTTTGAATATATATAATTATTTGTATAATTAGTTATCTATCTACAAACATAAATAAACACATAAATAAAAAAGAAAATATTTTCATTACATATATATTCACATATTTCTTACGAAATAATAGTAATATACTCGTTAGACCGTGAATTAAGAAAAAAGGTTATAAGAGATACAATGAGGTATATTCTATACATTTACAAGAAAATAGGCTAAATAAAAATCTATATACTGTAAGTTTGTATACGTATATATTCTTGTAGGTTACAATAAAAAAGTCGTACTTATAACAAAAGATCAGTGTAGGTCATCGACCACCGTCCAATGTTATAAACCTTACATATTACCTAGTACAGAGAGCAGAAAGAGTTTATGATACCTAAATATTTTTTATGTCAACGAGCAGTTCTTTGTTTGATTTTTTAAGCAATTTTTAATGACAACCAAGCTAATGCGGATTACCAGTCACATTGCTAGCAATATTGCTAATATATCCCGTCAGGACGACTTTCACTTGGTCACCCTTGGAAACCATTGTGTTAAATTCCTGGTGTATTTTTATACCAGCCATATATTATAGTATACCATTCCAGTGTCATCCATTAAAAAAAAACAAACTGACGTCCCGACTGTTTAAAATAATAACAGTCACATATAGATATTAACAGCACCTTGAAATTCGCAAAAAAAAAACACTATAACACCCCTGGTGGTAACCACTCATGCGCTATTACTTCTGAGGACTCTGCTGTTATGTTTCAGTACCTATTGTATACTATTATATCTCACTCTTCAAACCGAAACACGGCGAGCAAATGCGTATAGGTGCTTAATGGCAAAAATAGGTGTGCGGCTGAGATGCCCTAATAGACAAATTTTGTCTAGTTTTTCTCTAATAGAGATTTTTTAGCCTGTCAATTATCGAGGAAATTATAAATATTATTTCTATATGACACATATGTCAATACTTGTATTTAAAAAAAAAATTACATAGTCATTAATTCTTATATTGCATTTATATAAGAATTAATGACTACAATCTTAAATTTTATAGATAGAGTATCAAATACGGAGTAGATGGAGCCTCAAAGAGGGGTAACTTTTTATTGTCAATTGCTAATTAATTGTCAAATTAGCCGACTCGTCGCTTTGTCAGTGTTCAATATACTTATGCACATAATGTATTCTGACGTATCCATATTTAATTATTTAATAAATAAAAAAAACTTACGCATTAAAAAGTTGAAAAAATTATAAAACAATAAATATAGAAGTTATGAAGGAAATACTCATAACTATTTATCACGCAAAATTGTATGAAAATGTTGACCCGTTTTTTTCGAAGCATTTGTATGGTGACACTCTATTTATATAATCTAAGATTACAATTTATAGGTAAACAGTTTTATTCTCGATATAGGCGGAAAGAAGATAAAAAAATTGAAACGACGAAAGTCGCGGGCGAGAGCTTGTAAAATAAAATGTCTAATCGTGAGGTTCTATACGAAGTATGCACCCACAACAATGAACTTTAACTCGACTTAATATTACTATACAGTTTAAAGCACAGCTGTTTAGTAATAAAATGTCTATTGTTATAACTATGCAACTTTCATAACAAATGTCTTGTGGGTGCTGCAACATGGAGTATAGGGCGTAGCTGTACCACGCTAATATAAAAGACATGCATCTTCAATTATTACATGAACGATAATTTACTGAATTTATTAGATATTCAATTGTTGCATGATAAAGAATTAATTAAATTAATTAAATGGTGTTCCAATTTCCACTCGTTCTCGATCGGGTCAGTTTAAGAAGTTGTCCGATTTTCATTGTCTTTTTATTACTGGGTATATATTAGACAAAAGAAATAATATATGTTTAAAATAATTACTACAAATATGTAACTTTGCAATTTCAAATTTATAATTATGTATTTAAACACTATAGTAGCATTTTATTACTTTCTTTAGTAATATTATTATATTAGTTTATATTTGAGCTAAGGAAGAACTTTTACATAATACCCAGTCTACACTCTGCTGCCATGACTAATGCAGCGCCCAGGCTTTCCTCTCGGGTGAAGCTATAACTATCCATCCTACATAACATTACGTTGCTTGCCTAATCATAGGTCGCGAGCCTAACTTTCAACATGGGACAGACCAATTTAAAGAACCGGTTCTAAGTCTCGCTCAATTAATTTTAAAATTAATTGGTTTATTAGGTCAGAGCATAGTTTCTATAATAAGGTATTTTAATGTAAGAATTATGAAATTTTATATAGTAATAAATAATATATAAATTGATTGCCTTGTCAAGTAAATGTGCGGCTGTGATATGCAAAATGTCTAAGTGCACGACACCGTTACTTTATTTCTATAGAATTTATCTACCTTAGCAATGGAAGTCGGATTTAATATTAATAAATAATTGACCTAGTCGTAGGCGACAGGTAATATTTATATTTAATATGTAGTGTGCCATTCCTGCAACACCCTTGGTGCTAAGAATGACATTAGAAAGGCAAAACACTTTTTATACGCATTGCTATGTTGGTATTCGACGTACGTGGAACATTTAATTCACTTACACGGTTACAATGCGTATTTATTCCATGCTGAATACCTTGTTAAACCGAAAATTAACTGTTTACGTTTATCGCCATATCTTAAGTTACATCAACCTAATTGTTAAATAAAAAAATAATTACGTGAAGTATATTTTTTTAATCGCCTGGCGAAATACCTGATCAGGAAATAACAGATGAATAGATTGTTCATTTTTCAAACTAAAATATAAATTAGTTTTTTTTTTTTTAATAAATTCATTAGAAAAAAAAACAGTAAGAAAATTATCTAAATATAAATAAATAAAAAAAAACAGTTTTAAGATCATTCTTATATATATTCATCTGTCATGGCACATCGCAAATACAGTCGCACAGCAATTAAAGCTTTAAGTCCTAGACAATGGAAAAGCGTACCCATATCTAGTTAATTACTAAAATATATATTTATCTATATTGAATATACGAGATATGAAAAACACATAGAAGTTACTCACAAGGGTAAGATCTTCATGTTCGTTCTGAGGTGGTGTCGCAACAAGCACTGGTCCTTTCTCCACGGCGCGCTACTGAGCAGGTCCACAGCGGTCGGAGGCCACGGTTGATCTGCGACCACTGCAGGCGCCACTGCTCTAGAGGCCTGGCCTGACGCTTGCAGCCCGCCGCGCCTCAGCACCAGCCTGATTTAAATTCGGTATGCCGCACGCGCCGCGTCGCCGCACGACCACATTGCGATCTTCGGCCGTCGAAATAGTGTAAATCCTGTTGTGACGTCGCCGTAGCGCTCGTGATTCGCTTATTAAATAGCTTTTTTGGAAATTCTAACGGTATTGTTTAAAAATTGTATTGTCTGTCGCTTTCGGTTGACGCTGTTTCTAAACAGTCGAATTCGAATAGATACACCCATGAACAGATACCACATAGTCTTTCCTATGATACTAAATGATCAATTTTGCTTATAATGTGGTATAGAAGTTATTATATATCTACTGCACTGTTCAAACAATCTTACTTTTCTAGTAATTGCTACAACAATACAGATAATAGCAGTTACCTATTTATAGGTACCTACATTGTGTACTCACTATACTATTACTATATTGCCGTGTGATCTCGGCATAGGATAGACCACCCCTTCCTTTCCCGTGAGCGTCGTAAGTGACGACTACGGGAGAGCGATAGGATGGGCAGTAGCTTCCCTCCAAAAGACCTCTAAAAACCTAATTGCGGTTGAGAACCCGCCTCACTGCTAAGCGGGGCAACTACTGGCAAAAGTGCCCTTATGGCGAAGGCTTATGTTCAGCAATGGACAATTAAAAGCTGATATGATATGATGATATTGTATACTTATTTATGTAAATAAGTGTTCTATCTCGAATGTAACCATATGATTAGATAGAGCATAGGCATATTATTTCTAAGGTGCGTTTTCTCTAAAATGTTAAAGACTGTATGAAATTGGCCAAACGTGTGGTGACTGAAAGATATGCCCACAACATAACGCTACAATTGTAATTAATTTGCTACGACATTTTCTTATTTTTATCAAGTGGGACGGATTTAGTTTGCGAATATACCTACTTGTTTTGTAGTGCAATATTAAGTGAAGAGATTCTGCACACGATTGTTTTTAATACAAACTTGACAAAGAAAAACAAAGCTCTCTCTCTCAATAATCACCTTCAGAATACCTAAACAATCTTCAAGTCGTCTTCTATTAATTGATTTTGCCATTGCCCTTGAATGCATTATTTTTAATGGCGGAAATGTGGGGGGAAGGGATTGTTAATACGAGTAATGCGGACTACCAGTCTCATTGCTAGCAATATATAGTATATTGCTAGCAATGAGACTGGTAGACAGATCAAGTCGATCTCCACGTGCTCCGCTTTGAAAACTAGCGTGCTGAATTCCAGGTATGTTCATCACGATGAGCTAACTGACTTGCTTTCCCATTCTTACCTATCATTTTTCACTGGAGTATCGCCAGCGTATACATTAATTATAATTACTAGAGGTTTGAAAATAAGTTTTCAAAAGAAAAATCCTTTTTTTATTAGAAGGAATTTATTAATAAATAATAAATAATAACAATATGACTATTGCATTTACAGACCTAATAAGATTAGTAATTTTTATATACAATAGACTTATAAAAATTATATATATTTTTCTTGAAAAAATAATATACTTTAAGAGAAAAGGAAGCAATTCAATGTGACTCTTGTTTTTTTATTAGTAAATATAGATTGGCAACTCCGTTAGCGTTATCGGTAGGTATATGATGGCGTGGCAATGATGGATGAGGATGGAGAGGATGAGATTGGTGAGGATCAGGTAGCACATTATGACAAATTCCATAAGAATTATCCTTGATAAACTTTAAGGGAAACCAGGTGGAGGTTGACCCGATAGGGTATATTGCTAGCAATAGGACTGTTAGACTCTATTACTAACAATTCCTTTCTTCTGTGTGACTGTTGTGCCCATCATCATTAGCTTAGATTTAGTTTCTACTAAATTAGGCAATAGTCATTATCGATAGTTCCACTCGCAGCGTAGTTTCGCGTATTTGCATTTTTGTTAATTTTTTTTTTTTGTAGATAATTTAGCATAGGTAGACTCACTGAGAGTCTATTTGCTTGTAGTCTTGTTATCTGATTGTGTTGTGAAAGAAACATGTAAACCTAATGCTGGATTCACAATATGTGGAAAACCCAAATTTTAAATCTAATACTTTCGTTTTGTGCCGTGCTTTATGATAGAAGTATAGATCCTCTACTTGGATTAGTCGCACGTTAGTTTAGTTTGCTGATTAAGCTAAGTATAAATGTTATTTCGTATAACAAATAATGCATACATACATACATATCTGTCACGCCTGTCTCCCATTAGGGTAGGCAGAAACAATGGAACGCCAAATGCTTCGATTCAAACAAACCTCTTTCGCTTCTTCCACATTCATCAATCTTGTCATACACGCTCGTCGATTACGGGTACTTTTAATTTGGCCCTTCTTCAGCACGTCGCCTATTTGGTCGACATACGTCCGTCTAGGGCGGCCCCTACCGACATCTCCATTCATTCTTGCTCGATAAATCTCTTTCGTAATTCTTCTTTCATCCATCCTCTCCAAATGACCAAACCAACGCAACATTCCTTTTTCAATTTTTGTCACTACATCGTCTTTCAGTCCACACTTCTCTCTAACCACACTGTTTCTTACTCTATCTTTTAAAGTAATACCACACATACTTCTCAAAGCTCTCATCTGTACAGCATTTATCTTACTTTCATGCTTCTTCTGCCATACCCACGATTCGCTTCCATACATGAGTGTTGGTGTCAGTACTCCTTGAATTATAGCAAGGCGAGCTTTGCTCGATACATTTTTACTTGACATAATCGAGAGCAGTGCACCGTTAACACTGTTTCCCGCTTTTACTCTCCTCTCAATATCTCTGTCACACTTCCCATCCCTCGTAAACAAAGAACCTAAATATAGAAACTCACTCACTTGCTCCACTTTTTCATCTCCTATCATAATCTGGCATGCCGTTAAACTTTCATTCCTCTCAAAAACCATTACCTTCGTCTTCTTCGCATTTATTTTCATACCTTTTCTTGCATACGCTTCATTCATTATAGTCACCATTTGTTGTAATTCATACTCCGACGATGCAAAAAGTACTTGGTCGTCGGCGTATAAAAGAGTCTTAAACAGAGACTCATTCATCCTGAATCCACAATTAGATCCTTTCAAATCGGTCAAGCAACTGTCCATAAATAGGTTGAACAGCCAAGGAGACGCTACACAGCCCTGTCTAACACCGCGTTCAATGCCAAACCAGTCTGTATAGACTCCATTTATTCTGACACAGGCATTTGAATCCTTATATAAAGATTTGAATGCCCGTATCAAATGGCTGCTCACCCCATACATTGCCAGTGTTGACCACAGTTCATTCCTCTCCACTCTATCATAAGCCTTTTCAAGGTCAATGAAGGCGCAGAAAACCTTCTGATGTTGAGCTAAGGTTTTCTCTGTTATGCACCTTAAGGAAAAGACTTGATCCGTACATCCCATACCCTTTCGAAACTCTGCTTGCACATCCCAAATTTTACTTTCCGTCTCATTCATCACTCTTTTAATCAAAATCCTAGCATACAATTTGCCTACAACACTAAGAAGGCTTATTCCGCGGAAATTTTTGCACTCCTGCTGTGACCCGCTGCCTTTATATAGTGGCACAATAACAGCTTTGCTCCAGTCACCTGGAACACAACCGGACCGCCAACATTTATTGAACAGCAGACACAGCAGGTTTACAATGATTTCTCCACCTTCTTTAAGCATTTCGGCAGATATTCTATCGAATCCCGCTGCTTTACCAAATTTCATAATCTTCATTGCATTCATTACTTCATCCATACTTATATCACTTTCACTGTCAACTTCTTCGTCCATTATTTCATTTTCAACATTCTTTCTTTCACTTCCACGTTCAAATAAACTTTCAAAATATCTCTTCCAATGATCTAAGACTTCCTTTTGTTCCGTGATAACATTACCATCCATATCCCTTATCACGCCCATTTTCGGATCTCTCTTTTTACTTCTAGCTGTTCGAACTAAATGCCAGAAAAGCTTTTGATTAGCTCGAAAATTTCTAGAGAATTTCCTTTCATACTCATCCTTACATTCCTCTTTCTTTTTGCTTACTAATTCTTTAACTTTCTTTTTCATTACATCATACTTCTCTTTTGCAATTTTTTCAATGTCACTTACATTACCTTGCATTCTCTTATTAGCTCTGGTAGCTAACAAATCCATCCATGCCTTTTTCTTTAGAGCCACCATTTCTTTCACTTCGCCATCCCACCATACATTCATTCTCATCTTAACATCCTTCCTCTTACTTACACCACAAACTTGAGTAGCTATATCAAAGATTCCGCATTTAATAATGCAGTAATTAAGAATATTGAAAGATGCCGATGGTCTTTAGGAGCATTCTTTCATTAATATGTTCTTAAAGATTTGAATTTCAAATGTTCGTGTCTAAAGTCTGATGTACTCAACAGTTGATAATGTGACGCGTTTTAGACTTTATTACGAAGTGATAGTAATCAAACAGGTGTCTAGAGACGTTAGCCACTTTCATTGAGGTCATAGGTGAGAATGGATCTCCGGAATTTATTATGCAATACCAAGACAGACGAGGTTGTACGTAATAATATAATGATGCGATCAAGTTTTTTTTTTTTATTTCTATCTACATTTGCAAATCTATTTAATTATATATATAAAAATATGCGTACATATAGATACAAAAAACAGGATTATTGATAATGAACAATAGGCATATAAAATCCGGATAGCATTTGAAAATTGAAATCTGTTAATTATTCTTGAAACCTTATCAGATTGATCACGTGACAGTCCCCCTATGTACATAGCGTAGAGTAGCGATTTCAAAGGTTGGGTTCCGTGGAATCTAGGAGTTCCATAAAATAGTCACTCGAGTACCACGAATTTGTTTTACAGTGAAACAATTTCATTCTTCACATTAAAAATTAAAGGAAACTTTAAAGTATTTTGCTTTTAAAATATTTCCAACAAAGGCTTTTCTTTTTATTTAAATTAATGTATTTTTGATTTGTTATCGTTTGATATGAGGTTCGGTAAAATAAAAGGTATTCAGTGGGCGTTCCGTT